TAATATTTATAGAATGACCTCGGTTTAGTATTTAGCATTTTAAATAAAATAAATGGGGCATAGCTGAATGTTTATGTCACAAGGTTACTGAAGCAACATTTACCAAAATTATTCATTTTTTATTCGATATATTATTGATGATTTAGAAGCCTTCATTTCTTTTAATGGTATACAAAAATACAAATATTTATTAAAATTACGAGCAAGTGCTTTCTGCTAATTTCGTTTGTGACTTTTCGCTAGCACTTTCTTCTCTTTGTTCAAAAAATAGGGGTATGAAAATTGGGAAGGGGAGTATAGAACAAATTTAATTGTTGCTAAAAATCCAAAATGAATTATAAAATTAAAAATTAAATCCCTAATAATAAACCAAAATGCGAGAAAAAACGGAACAGAATGAGAAATTACTTGAGTGATTAGACAAGAAGACAAGAAAATCAAAATTACCTAATCTAGAATATTTTTTGAAATTTTGAACGGTATTACTTAGATACTATCCAACCGTTTAACGACATTTCAAATTACTGATTTTTAAATCTACTAGATTCGATACAATTTAATTCATACGTAAAAAGCATATCTGAGGAATTACTGTTATTTATTAAATACTAATTTTTTGAAATTGCTCGCTTTAAACTGAACTTACAATTATTTATGGTGATGTATAAAGGGCAATATGAAACTCTGGCATTGAAGAATAGTTTCTAAGAAAGTGAGGAGTTTGAACATATTTATGAAATTTTCAAAAATAAAAAGGAGGTTGCCAGCTTTAGCATTATTATTATCCAGATTTAGCCATACGACTCACACTCCCTCTGAGGGGAAAATTCACTCATCCCAGATACCTAAGGTATTAAAAGGATTGAGCTCTGGTGGGACTCTTTCCGTGTTATCGAGTCCTAGGTGACTTGGTATGTTGGAGTATCTCCAAAAAATTTCGTACACATCTGGACGTCGCGAGGAGTACAGCTTTTTGCATGGCCTTATAGAGATGTTCATTTAGACCTAGCTGTTTTATGTTCTCTAGGACGTTTTTGGGAATAACACCAGTAGTAGATAGAATAACAGTTACTGTCTGGGTACTTTCCATTCTCCATTGCCGCATGATTTGTATTTCTAGATATCTGTATTTGGCGATCTTTTCGTTGTATTTAACACGTAAATTATTGGTGTTGGGATCGCCACATCAATGTGTTGTTTGCCTAGTAATTATATTAACTAGTATTAGATCCGGTCTATATGGTCGGTCCCAGTCCCAGTTCCAGTTTGTGAGGTAGTTCTTGGTGGATAATCTTTCCTACTGAGTCATGACGTTCTTAATAATCAGTACCGACAAACACCTGGCAGCCACCGGTAAGATGTTGGATGGTTTCTTGGGCTTGGCATCCATATCGGCATTTGTCATTTTGGACTTGGGGATCTTTAACAATATATTTCAGGTAATTTTTAGTTGGAATAACCTGATTCTGAATGACGAGTAGGAAACCCTCAGTCTCGGGAAACATCTTTCCTGATGTCAACCAATAGTTCGACGCTGTATTGTCGACATATTCTTGGATGATCTCGTTGAGATGCCGCCCATGCAGAGGTTTATTTATCCAGGTGTGCATTTTTTCTTGCTGAGTCAGGTGGTTTATGCGCATTTGTTGTATGCTCAGTTTAACCGGCATTGTATCATTTACTGCGTAAATTGCTCGTACTGTCTCATGTCTCAGCCAGTACCTGAAAATAAATTCTTAAATTAGCAATTTTTTTGGGCTGAACCTTTCCTCTGACTATATTTAGTATACGGCACTTGTCTAGTCCAAAATGCATACTGATATCATTTGAGAAAGTTTCTACAGTTTTTAGCATCTGATCTAGGTGGTTTCGAGTGGAAGTACATTATTGTTATTATTATTTTTTATTTTATAAACATAGTCGGATCAACCTTTCAGGTTGTTAGTTACTACTGTTTTTGAGGAATTTTACCAAATGTTCAATTTTACAGTTTTCTTCTAAGATTTCACTTGTTGATCCGAGGATGTAGTTGGTCGGTCTTTCCAATTTGTATCTTGAATACTCTACGAAGTACGTACGTAACACTGAATGGACCATTACAGTTGTTACATAAATTGGGATTGAGAGTTAAGTTCTTCTATATTTATTTGGTGACTCTCCAGTTTCTGCACCTTAACTTTGTATTGAACTAATGTAGAATGTTCCTGTGGCCACTATTAATGCCTTAGTTTGGATAACTTGAAGGTGACCCTCGAGGGATGCCATTTGTTGTTCGCAACAGATTCAAGAATTTCAGCTAAATCAATAAGATTATCAGTAGGTCTTCTTCTTTAAGTGCCGTCTCCCAATCGGAGGTTGGATATCATCATCACTATCTTTACTTTATCTACTGCTGCTCTGAAGAGTTCTATAGAACTGCATTTGAACCAGTCCCTTAAATTATTCAACCATGACACTCTCCTTCTTCCTATACTCCTTCGTCCTCTTATCTTTCCCTGTAATATCAGCCTTAGTAATCCATATCGCTGTCCCCTCATTACGTTTCCCAGATATTGTAACTTTCTTATTTTTATCGTGTTTATTATTTAGCATTCTTTGCCCATTTCTCGCAATACTTCCGTGTTAGTTTTCTTCTGTGTCCATGCTATTCTAAGCATCCTCCTGTAACACCACATTTCAAAGGACTGTAAATTATTTATGTGTTCTTGCTTCAATATCCAGCTTTCAAGTCCATAATGCAGTATCGAAAACACGTAGCATCTCAGTGCTCTTACTCTCAGTTCTAATCTAAGATCTTTGTTGCAGAAAATTGTTTTCATTTTTACAATCGCATTTCTTGCTATTTCTATCCTAGCTCTTATTTCGGTTGTTTGATCATTATTGTCTGAAATCCAGGTTCCTAGGTATTTGTATTTATCAACCCTTTCTATCGGTACATTTCCCAAATGTATGTTTGTTGGTATATTTGTTTTCTTTGTTATTATCATGTATTTGGTCTTTTTTATATTCATTTTTAGTCCATATTGTTCACAGAAACTGTTTGTTTTGTTTAGCAGTAATTGGAGTTGTTCAGCAGAGCTTGCCATAATCACGGTGTCATCTGCATATCTTATGTTGTTAATAGATCTTCCGTTAATTATTATTCCTTCACTTTGAGATAGTAATGCTTCTTCAAAAATGACTTCACTATATACATTAAATAGTAATGGGGACATAATACATCCCTGCCTAACTCCTCTCCTGATTTCAATTTCTGGACTGGGTTCATTATTATTCGTATGGGTTCGTTATTATTCGTAAGTCCCTGTGGTCTATGTTTTTTGTCTTTAGAATTTGGACTAATTTTTCATGTCTTACTTTGTCAAATGCTTTTTCAAAATCATTGTAACAAACATGCACATCAACATTCATATATCCATCAGTAGGTAATAGTTTTTGTCGAAATCCACTCAGCTCCTTAATCAGGTGATTTTCTTCTAATATCCATAAAAATATTTTATTAACTATTTTCCCATCACTTTTCACATTATACAGTGAGTAAGACGCGTGTGTATGAGGTTTTTTTAATTAGTGGATTGTTAGGTTTAAGAATATGTATACATAATGATCGATTGAAAATTTTTAGAATACATTAGTTTTTCCAAGAATACTTAATGTACTTAAGGAATATTATCAAATCCAAGAGTTAAATTTTTTATATTATTAAGGACCTGTTGTTTTTCTGTAACGATTAGCTATTTCATTCGGTTTGAAAAACTTTGTTAAAGTTATGGACAAGGTTTTTTTGTACTTCGAAAAATTTCCTAGACTAAAAGTAATACGCAAATCAAAGTACGTATCTATGTAGCTCCAAAAATTCGGGATTTGATAAAAGATAGGAATTTTCCTCTAGTCAATGACTTAAAAAAAAAAGAGCATGAACCTGTTTCAAAAATGTAAACAATCTACTTAAAGCCTACAGTGATTTCGACTGTCATATGTCTCTTAAAATCCATTTCCTTTAATTTCCCAGAAAATCTTATGTTATAGTTAGTGATGTTATCGATGAACATGGAGATTTTTTCCATCAAGATATTTGAAGTATGTAAAAACAATATCGAGGAAAATGGAGAGGAAAACCATACGTGACAGAAAAAAACAGAAAAAAAATGTTGAAGGTTTTTGCTGAATAGAACAGAAAACGAACGATAGACCATTTAAACAACTAGACTGGAAGACATATCTTTTCGTGACATATACATTTGTAGTGTATGTTATTTTAATAAGTTTTTTGAATGGTATAAGTAACCAAACATCATATTTAGTATTACATTTACCTTCCTGGCGGCCATTATGTTATATCAGATTTTATTGCATCTATCGCTAATCTTTTTAAGCTTCGCTTATGTGGCCAAAATTAAGTGTGAATTACAGTAAATGAGAACGTTAGGTCAATTCTTTATCTTTAACTTTATTAACGAATTTTCCAAATTATCTCTGTTATATCTAGATGTCATTTGGGGAATATCTTAGAGGATCGTAGCTTGGAATTTTATTTTCCACTGCATGCATCTATATTCAAAGATATTGAGAGATTTTAGAAAGACATTAACGCCTTAATCGAACTACAGCTCCATTATTTGCTACAACTGCATCGACAGTCTAAAGGCTTAAGTATGGTTCAGGTGTCTGTTGTATATGCATCGGACAGGGTTGGTCTTCCCAGAATAATTCAATGCCCGGAGTCCTACCGCCAGCCAAAATACGTTATATTCACACTTTTACTCGGGTTAGAAAGTAACAGGGATGTCATACCTGCAAGCTACATTTTTAAAAAGGTTTTTTCTCATATCACCAACAGCACATGGGTGTTTACTACAAAGCTAACTGAAGACATTCAATTAATGTTTTTTTTCTGTGTGATGTAAATCGGTTGAATTTTGACTTTCTAATATTTAAAAAAATGTACTCGTCGTTATCCTTATATAGATTGGTACTTATGTTGATAATTTTTTTAACAGAAAGGTTAAATCAGGATCCAGCCAATAGCGTCGCGGCCTTAGACTTAGGTGGCGGTTCAACTCAAGTTACCTTTGCAGCAATGACTCCAGCAAGTCTTAAAGAAAGCGACTTTATTCAGCAGGTATACAGATTTAATGAATTATTTATTAATTATTTTAATTAATTTGTATCATATAAAAATATTAATATATTTAATATAAAAAAATTAATATAACTTTTGCAGGTCTATGGAAATATATTTGCACAACAAATCACTGTAAATAAAGATCAAGATGGCATAATAATATTAATAGCATTAATATCAATGAGAATATTCTCACAATTTTATTTAATTTATATAGTGCTGTTAACTTATAAAACTCGTGAATATGCATTAAAACTTTAGCAGGTACAACAGAAAACAAAAAAAAAAGGATGTAGTCGTTTCAAATCAACTCCCTCGTCGAACTCACATACAATTTTGACTTATAGAAACAGATGTGTCAATTACAGGGTGACAATTGGCAATAGGACGATTTTGAACTAAATGGTACACAAGAAATTTTCAAGAAAATACTATTTTATTAACTTCAAAATGAAGCTTATATTATGCCTCTACAATCTAAGTCAGTATGGAAACTAATGTCATAAAGATGGTGACCATCACGTTGGATGCAGTTTTCGATCCTCTTTATGAAATCCCCCATAACACGCTCTAACATCGCTAGATCAATAGTCAGGAGGTCCTGGCGAATTGCGTTCTTCAATTCGATCAAATGACGAGGCTTGTTCGGATATACGGACTCTTTAAACACCCCCATAGAAAAAACACAAACTGACAGGTCTGAAGACCTTGGAGACCACGGCAAATCTCCGAAACATGAAATGAGTTGTCCTGATAACAGGTTGCGGAGAATATTCATTGAAGCATGGGCAGTATGTGCCGTGGCACCATCCGGCAGAAACCATACATTCCTTGGGTTTATCCCTTTTCTGCGTAATTCTGGAACCAACAAAATTTTGATCATGTTAACGTAGCGAATAGAATTAACGGTGATGGTATGGCCAGCCTCTTCAAAAAAATATGACACCATCATGCTCGTTGGACCAATGGCACACCACACTGTGACTTTTTGAGAATGTAAATGACGCTCATGGAAATTTCGTGCGTTTTCTGGAGCCCACTACCTGTATTTCCGTTTATTAACGGTTCCGTCCAAATGGAAATGACCTTCGTCACTCATTAGAAGATGCTGACCTAAGTAATCCTCCAAAAGAACTTGCATTCTCGTAGCGAAATCCTCACATTGTTCAACATCTCTTTCCACTAATTTTTGGACAATCTGCAATTTGTAGGAGTGAAATTTTAGGTCCTTATGAAACATTTTTCTAAATAAGCGATTCTTGATTAATATTACCAATTGCACGTTTTCGGGAGGACCGTGTAGGGCTTCTGACGACGGCATCTCCCACTCGCTGTATGTTTACAGGAGTTCTTACTGTTCTATTCGGACCTTGTTGCTTTTTTTTCATGACATTGCCAGTTGGTTTAAAATTCCTTATCCATCTTAAGATTGGGTTGCGAGATGGAACCGCTTCACGCCTACCAATATTAAAATGAGTGCGAAAAAGCCGCTGCGTAGTGATCACTGATTCTTGATTTCGGATAAACGTATCTTATTGCACACGTGCGATGTTCTATCGTTCATTGCTCCATGTTGACTGAAATGGCACACTACTACAGAGGTAGTAACGCTGCGCTTGTCCCACTCTCATCCCCTCAAGCTTCGTACTATGCGTTCTAAAAACATCCGGCTCCCGATTGTCACCCAGTATTTTTTCATTCATCCTCATTCATCCAGTAGGCTTTTTTCAAGTTATTTTTTCGGCCTAGTTTCCGTCGGCCTTGACTATTACAATCCAGCGCTATCCTGGTAATGTTATCTGCGACTCTACGCAGTGTGTGGCCCAGCTATCTCCATTTTCTTCGCCCTATTTCATTTAAGTAATTTTGTCTATGCACAGACGTATACTAAAAATTCCATGGACGGCTATGCTGACAAATGTGGCAGTCCTTGAGAGAGCAAATGCTGCTCGCGAGCTGCTTGATAACATCAAATGTAGAAAGATGGCCTATTTTGGACACGTACTAAGGGAGACCGATATAATATTCTTCAACTTATTCATGATGGGTAAAATCGAAGGACGCAGAGGAATTGGTAGAAAGCAGGCCTCTTGGTTGAAGAATATCAGGGAGTAGACAGGAATAAGGAAAGCTAAGCAACTCTTTAGAATAGCTCGAGACAGAGACAGTTTCGCCATGTTAATCACCAACGTCAAGGGGACTTGATACGGCACGTTAAGAAGAAGAAGAATTTTGTCTATGCATGATCGGTTTTGGTCTTAATCGGTTCTTTATAATTATTGCTGGTAATTTATTTATGGTATTTAGTGTGATTCCCTTCCAGTTTTTGCAATGTCTTTTGTCACCCTTTTTTGTATCTTTATTATCTCTCGTCTCGTTTTTTATTCCTTGGGGCACTTTTCCTCTCTTCAATCCCTTTGCAAGAGTGGTTTGATTAGCTCTGTTGTTGTGCCTAGCCAAGCTTTTAACAACTCTGGTGGAATATTGTCGGGGCTGGCTGCTTTGCTCGCGTTCGGTTTTTGTATGGACATTTCTATTCATGAATGTTTATTTGGTTATACTTAATTCATACCTGTCCTATTGTCCCTTATATCCAGAAGATGTTTCATCTGTATATATACGACCAAGCGATTGGAACACTCCCTGTTGGAGATAAAAACTTCCCCATCCAGTCTGGAGTACTGGAGAGGTTAGGCTCCCAGTCCCAGACCGGCGCTGCATTTTCTGTATTTGCTGAAATTTATCACTTCCTGATTACTTTCTAGTAGGTTATATTCAGATGGCTGCGGCTATTTTGTTTGTTCCTGATCTATGCATGACACACCAGAAGCTAGAAAATAAATGGTTACCCCTCGCAGAGCCACGCATGCAGGAATGAGGTTAACCAATCCGAGTTTTGTTTCATACTGAGTGTCCTCATAGTAGGCAATACATTTAACATTGCAGCATTAACGTAATATCTACACTACGTTAAGCCTTCGGCCACCGCTGTTTCGCCACTGGTTTGATGAGGATTTTCCTGTAGTTTACAACTATATGGGCCGGTCTATTAAGGCTCGCTTCACATCGGTAAACAATTCCTCATCAGTTACCGACTTGCCAGTACATTATACACCGGACAGTTTCCTCAAGCCATCAGTCTTCTTCCAGTACTCAATCTGTTTCAGTCGCACACCAACTGAGGTTTTGGTGCAGCGTCCATGATATTTAGTCACCAATTAATTAATAGGATTTTATATATATATATATATATATATATATATATATATATATATATATATATATATATATATATATATATATATATATATAATGAACCAGAAGTATTTGCTGACCACGTAAGGAAGTAAACTTTAAATATTGGGTATGCAGCAATAAAAATGAAAGGTGTACTCTTTTAAATTTTTATTCCAAGCTTTCGGACATTTGTTATGTCCTTCATCAGGGAGAAACTTAATGAGGTTGTATCATAAATGATTTTATAAAAATTGTTGATAAAATTTATCACAGTCTGTTAAGCTAAAACCTATTCTTATATTTAAAATTTTAAAAAATTACTTAACATTCACACAATCTTAATTATTTATATACAAATCTATGTATATCAATGTCAATATCAATGTCATAGATTTGTATATAAATAATTAAGATTGTGTGAATGTTAAGTAATTTTTTAAAATTTTAAAATATAAGAATAGGTTTTAGCTCAACAGACTGTGATAAATTTTATCAACAATTTTTATAAAATCATTTATGATACAACCTCATTAAGTTTCTCCCTGATGAAGGACATAACCAATGTCCGAAAGCTTAAAATAAAAATTTAAAAGAGTACACCTTTCATTTTTATTGCTGCATACCCAATATTTAAAGTTTACTTATACATATATATATATATGTATATATATATATATATATATATATATATATATATATATGTAAATATATATAATATATATGTATATATATATATATATATATATATATATATATATATATGTAAATATATATAATATATATGTATATATATATATATATATATATATATATATATATATATATATATATATATGTAAATTATGGACCAATTCTTTGATAATATTTGTTAGAAATGTAAATATCCTGTACATTTATTGTGTGGAAATCACCTATGATATAAAACAATTGTTGGTGTATTTAAGTTTCATATATTTAATTTTACTGTTTATAATAGGTGGCGTCACCAAGGGGTTCTATTCCAGTCTACACAAACAGTTTTGCTGGCTTAGGACTAATGGCAGCTAGACATGCCATGATTACTTTGAATCAACCAGATGCTGTGAATGTAACCAGCGAATGTGTAAATCCTATAATAAGGAAGAAAAAATTCCTTTATCACGGTAAGCAATCAAATTATAGTAGTAAATACCGTATTCATTTTTTTTTCTCATTCATTTTTTCTCATTCTCTTCATTCAGTTATTTTTTGTGCCAACATGTATTGTGTGCATGAACCATAAAATTTTAGGGGACAAACAAACAAAAAACTGTTAATGTGTAATAAGCGAACTGTGGATAAAGGATATTGAAAATAAAATCTATCGTAAATTAGCACAAGTATGAGATAATTAATGTTATTAACTATATGACATAACATATTTTCCTTTTCTTGCGCTTTAACACTTACAATTATTTCAATTTTAAAAGGAGTTTAAGAGAGTTTTTACCACACGTAGTTTGTTCCCTCCGTTTTTTATCAGAATTCATGTTTTTTTTTTCTATTAAATACTGCACTATGTGGCATTTCAAATCACATTCTGATTAGAAGTTGTGGTAGTTCATTATTTTATATCTACGTCTTGTAATAAGCTTCTTTCAGTCCCATATCCTCATTGAACGTTAACGATCATTCTAACCCACAAGTTTTGTTTACAGCGGCTCTAAACAGTTCTAGGGATGTTTTCCCGTCTCAGACTTTTAACATTCGTCGCCTACCTTACCCTCTGATTCCTTTTAATTTACCCTGTGTGATAACCAGAGAGGGAGATATTCTTCTTCTTTTTGTGCCACTCCTATCGAAGATTGGAAATCATCAAGGCTATTCTGACCTTGTTTACGGCTGACCTAAAGAGATCATTAGCGGTGCAGCCAAACCACTCTCTCAAATTCCGCAACCATGACATTCTTCTACGGCCTGGATTCCGTTTTCCTTCTATTTTTCCCTGCATTATATTTTGAAGTAATGCGTATTTATGTCCTCTCATCAGGTGACCAAAATATTCGAGTTTTCTTCGCTTTAGCGTTAACAAAATCTCTGGATCTTTTCCTATTCTTCGTATTACTTCACAGTTTGTTATTCTTTCAACCCAACTAATCTTCAGCATTCGACGGTAGCACCACATCTCGAAACTTTCAATATTTTTCATGTTGTTCTGTTTGAGAGTCCAGGCCTCTACACCGTATAATAGCGTGTTAAATACATAGCCTCTCAGCATTCTTAATCGTAGAGGGATGCTTATATTTCTGTTGCAGAAGAATTTTCTCATCTTTATGAAGGTTCCCTGGCAATTTCGATACGTCTTTTTATTTCACTGTTTTGGTCTCCAGTTTCGTTTATTAAAGTTCCCAAGTATTTGTAGTTTGATACTTTTTCAACTTGAGTGCCGTTTATACTAATATACGCTGGTTGTGTCATGTTTTTACTGAAGACCATATACTTGGTTTTTTTAATATTGATATTTGATATTCAATATCAATATATCAATATCAATATCAATATATCAATATCAATATATCAATATTAATATCAATTGAGGGAGATAGCTTGGGACTAAATATAAACACAAATAAAACAAATATAATGGCTGTTACACGTGCACCAAATGTCGACATTAATATTCGTATCTATAACAAACATATACAACCAGTACAAAATTCCAGTATCTTGGTTGCTGGATAACAAACGATCTTGACCACGAGGTCAAAATACATGCTCGTATAGAATATGCTAGGTCCGCATTTCAACGAATGAAAAAATTCCTAATAAACTCTACGTTATCGTTGGATATCAGATACCAATTTGTAAAAACGTTTATTTATTCCATATTGCTATACGGAGTGGAAACATGGACTCTCGGAATTACAAGTATGAGGCATATAGAAGCTTTTGAGATGTGGGTTTTTCGAAGGATACTGAAGATCTCTTGGACAGAGCACGTGACCAACAACGAGGTGCTAAGAAGAATGGGTACTGAGAGAGACCTCCTAAATATTGTAAAATAACAGAAAAATGAGTTATTTAGGACATATTTACACAGGAGAAAAATACAACTTCCTACGACTTATAATAGAAGGGAAAGTGGAAGGAAGAAGAGGTCCAGGAAGAAGAAAATGCTCCTGGTTGAAAAATGTAAGAGACAGGACAGGCATGGACATACATTCGATACTAATAACAGCTCAAGATAGAGAGCAATTTGCTGTAGTTATAGCCAACTTTCAGTAACGGAGAAGGCACCTTAAGAAGAAGATAAATTGTAGAATGTGGTATTTATTGTTTCTCATCACAGGGCCACAATACGAAAGTTTTCTATTTTTACTGTGCAGATCAGCTTTTGGTCTTCGCCTGTTCTTTGTAAAACATTTTCGTTGGTAACTCAACACGTTCATGGTATCACCACATTTCGAATGCTGTTATTTTCTTATTGCTTCTTTCTGTAAGGTTATATGCCTCTATGTCATATAGTTGCAGAGATGAAAATACATAAGATTTCAGTACTCTAGTAGTCTAAACAATATTTTAAGGCCCAGATTGTAAAGAACAGCTTTCATTCTGCGAATTTCTGTAGAGAGATTCAAATCCTCATTTAAGTTGAAACCTAGATATGTGAAGTTTTGGACTCTTTCCAGTGGTTTATCGTTTATACAAAAATGATAGTCTACATTAGGGTTTTTGTTGATTATCATCGTTTTCGTTTTATCGAAATTAAGACTCCGAAATTATTCAGAAATTTCTGCTAGTTATTTTGATTCGGTTAATTAGACTTAAAGGCATTCTGTACTATCAGCAAGACGAACAGTATCGTCAGCGTAATAAACATCCCATTTACCAAAAGTTTGTCTTCAGCATCTGCCAACGCCTCTCTAAATAAGTATTCAGAGTAAATATTAAACAATAAGGGTTACAAAACACAACCCTGTCGAACTCCTCTCTGGATATTAAATATTATGGAATAAGAATTGTCAACTTCAACTATACCTTTTTGTTGTGTACTTGTTGTTCTGATATCGTTAAGTTTACTGTGGTTTACTTTATCGAAAGTTTTTTCATAATGTAGAAAGCACACAAGTATACCATTATTTACGTCCCTAGCTCTTTAAATTTACACTTGTATACTGAATAATGCCCTAGTTACAAGTCCATGTCTAAATCCAAACTGAAATTCGTCCAGCTGCTGTTCGAGTATTGGATATAGTCTATCGTCTATAATATATAGAAAGATCTTCAACATGTGGCTCATCAAAACTATGGTTGTGTACTCATATTTTTTAGATTTTTTCTTTGGTAGTTGTATGAATATAGATAGCAGCCAATAATCGAGAAACTTTTCTATCTGATAACTGGTGTTATCAGATATAATGATAATATGGTGTGTTGAATAGGTTTTTAATAGGTACGATATAATAATCTAGCAGTTTGAGGATTTCTCCACGTATTTTATCAGGACCTGGAGCTGTATTATTTTTTATTCTTTGGATAGCTGTAGCTACTTTTGCTTTTGAGATATGAGGGCTCTCCTCTACTTTAATCTCTTCCTTCTATATTATGTTGCTGGAATATAATTATTCCATATATAACATCCATATTTGTACCTTCTCTCTTTCTCATATAGTGTTTCTGTCTTTATCTGTTAATATTGAGGATACTTTGTTTTTGAAACATCTTAATACCTTATGACCATATTGCCTCGCAATAAAATCTCACGTATTTTACAAACCTCGACTTATTGATTTTGAAGGTCAGGTCGCAGCATGCAATCATCAAATTAAATATTTCTATTTTTTAACCATGTTTTCATGTCTTCTTTTTTACTACTTCCATTAGGAGCGTTGTCCAGATGTTTATTGTGATATGGTGCGTTCTCAAGAACGTCAACGATAACACTATTGGGTGGTAAATTTACAAGTAATTTTTACATAAACCACTTCTTATAGTTTTCAGAATTTATTTTTCATTACCAGCACCAACAATTATAAGCTTTTGTCGCCTGGAAACGGTTTTTTATAGGCCTGCATTTCTATCACTTCAATTATATTCTTTGGCGTTAATAAAATGCAAATAGATTTCATCGCTGAAAACGACTGTCCCGTTTTCGACTCGATATCTTTTAATTCTACGTAAATAATTTAGTCGTAATTTTTGCTTATCGTGCATTTCCATTAAAATGTGACGATTTGTTCTGATTTTTTCCCAACGACACCACATTGTACAGTAATTTTTTTATGGAAGCGATCAACTGTTGATCTACTTTCTCCGTTATGTGAAAATTAATGATAGTGCGACGAAGTAAACTATTGTCAAATGCATCGATTTTAATTTTTGATGACCTCACTTGTTTTGGAGGACAAGAAAACACTTTTTCTCCAGCATCAACTTGATGAGCATCGATTTTTTTTATAATTGACCGATTTAAACCTTAAAATTAGATTAGGTTAAAAATAATAATAATTTAGTAGTACCACCTACATAAATATTTACGATTGCAACAGTACTTAAGGGGGTATGTTCACGCCGCAGTTAAAATGAGTGGTGTTCAAATAAACTAACGTTTAACAATTTCTTGAATAGATGGCAGCACGTGCATCATATTTTAATATTTTGATTTTCTCGAAATTTAATTATCTGAACAGCGACAGTGTTGCCAACGAGGCCAAGTATTGGATCTTAAAATATAATATACGATCGGGAGAATCGGTATAGTTCGCTCTCGGTCGGCAGTCTTCTGCAATGTAAGTTGAAATTGCGCTATCGTATTATTTGATTTGAAGTTTCACAAATTCTAATTTTTGGATTGGATAATTGGATCATTCCATATCATTTTTTAATTTTTGTATCGTGTTGCGTTAAGGTTCATTTACCTTTGAAGTTAAATTGTTGTTTTGTTTTTTTTTTGTAAACATTTTAAATGGTGCATATTAGTTTTGTAAAAAACTAAATTTATTTCAAGTAGAAAAAATTACTTATAATAAAATTATACACCTGTAAATTTCATAATTTATTAACCCATCAGAGGACGCTAAGGACTGATCAGTTCTTTGTAATTTTACATTTATCTTGGCAATAAGACTATTGAATTTATATTCATTTTCAGCTTAGTAAACGAAAAGCTTCCGTTGCTAAATCA